CTGTCAAAAACACTTGCAAACGGATTTCAGGGAGAGCGTTTTAGCATGCGAATGAAAGCATGACAGAATTGGCGCTTAAGTCGAACAGACCACCTTCAATCCTAGCATACAATATCATCCAAAGAGGGGGAGATCGACGAAAAGGGTGATCCAGCATCGCTCCATATCAATGAATTTAACCAGAAAATGGCTTTCGGATAGAGCATCAAATCACCCACAACAGACAGAAACCAAAACCAACAAAGTTCAACTCTATTCACGCACTGAGTTTGTTGGTGCATGTGGCTCGTGGTCGAATTGGAACAATCAGATCAATACATGACCCATTCACGTGTTCCTTTCTTCAGCTTTTGCTAAAGATTCCACGCTTCAGGAGCCGGAGGCGATCAGTAAAGTACTTTCACTTGAAGTAGTTAAAATAGATTGAACAGAAATAATTGGAAACCATTTTTCGTTCGTTTTCTTCAGGCAGGAGCTGATCAAAACCTTTTCCGCAACAGTAACCCATTCTGTTTGACCTAGCCAATCAACTGGCTGTTGTGAATGTCACGCACACAAGCACACACACAGGTCCGTCTGTCACTTCATTTTGATCGATTTGCCTGAAAACAGTTTCCGACTTATTCTGCATGCTCCGCATGTTACTATGGTAATGAGGACATCTGTTTCCATGAGCATTTTTGGTTAAAAATTGGCAGAGGACAAGGAGAAATTCACGAGTGCACACAAACTTGCATCCTGATAAAAATCGATGTGGACATGTGAGTATGCTGCTCAGAAACACAGCACCAAAGCTGTGTGGGGAAAAATGAACCCTGCGAGTACATCAGATTAGTTGGCTGACACTAGTGATTCAGCGACGGATGTGTAGCAACACATTCAGAAGAAAATTGTATTTTACAGCAGTTCTTCGTTGTTGAAAATTAACATCTATCAACCTTCAACTAGACTACAAAAGCTACCATCAGTATTGATAACAAACCAGAGATATGTAACCGAGACCGGGTTCATTGATCCCAATGAATTTTTACTGTGGTAATAAACACGTTAATCATGTGAGCACACAGCTTCAATCACCTGATTCACGCATTGACTGGATTCAAAGCGACAGTTTGATCCATGGAACTTAACTGAATGAGCTGATGACCTAATTAAAACGCAACCGGATTGCATTCGATACNCCCCCCCCCCCCCCCTCCAGTCGCTCAAGGATTGGTGTCACACCGTTAACTAATCGTTGTTCTTGTATCAATCGCTCACGCGTACATCCCAGGTGACAGATAAAATGCCGTGGACCGAATCCGTGTTTAGGAGACAACTCACCACACTTTACGTGGTGTAGTGGATATAGTAATGAGCTAATCAGCAGCACTCAATTAGAATAGCTGCTTCGATTCTAACAATGAGTGGCAGCTAAATCACGTGTGTTCAGTGTAAATTTCAGTTAAACCTGGATAGTAGTTCACAGCGATTTGGTCTGACGAAACCGCTGAACCGAAGCAGATATATATCAGGTCTACAGGGAACATCTGTCCGTTTTTGGAATAAAACAACAAAATTTTCTGACCGTCAACAAACTTTATTAAATAGTATAATTGTCATTATTATTAATGCTTTCTTGCCAGTGTGAGGACAATTTGTATTACCCATTTTTGAAAAATGTTTTATCTCTTAATGCGAAAAATTGAACCAGCGCTTGTTTGAAATCTTAATTTTAGAATATTTTGTCGTTCAAAAAATTTCGTAAGGACAAAAACAAGTGATAGCTGGAGGGTGCCAAGTCCGGCGAATATAGTGGATCCGACAGAATTTCCCAGCCAAGCTCTGCAATTTTTTGAAGAGTCCCCAAAGCAGCGTGACCTGGTATTATCATGATGCAGTACGATGTTCTTCCTATTGAACATCACCGGCCTCTTTTCTTGGACTACTGTCTTTAAGTTATCCAGTTGCTGACAACACTTCTCCGAAATGAACTTTTCGTCCGGTTTTAAAGGCGCATAATGTATTGGTCCTCGAATGTCCCCCCATATACATGGTCTTCTCTTATTCAGAATCAAAGTTAGTTTAGAGGTGGAAGGGCTAGGTTTTCCGGGTTCACCATATGCCGTTTCCCTTATTAGAATACAAGCATTACATGCACCGCGTAATTCAGAAGACAAACTGCACAATGAACCAATAAATGGCAAGCAGGCCTAATAAGATGGGTGCAGTGTTAGAACAAATAGTCAGATAAACAGCATAGATAACATGGAACAATCAGCAAACAGTTCGCCGAATAAGGTCACGCAAGTACACGTGAGAGGATGACTACGCATACTGCTGTAGGCAAGACGATCCCATACAGACAAGCATATAGGCAAGTAGTAAGTGTTGGGGAAGCCTTGAACAAGTAAGCGAGTTGACACAAATGATGGACAGAATATTAGACAAACGGTTCAATTTTACTCGGGAGGCAGATGTTAGAAGAATATCACGCGATTAGGCAAATCTCAGATACGAAAGGTACACAATCGGTTTACATATAAGATTAACGTGAATCAACTGTGTTTTAGGTAATTTGTTACGTCAGTATGCATATTAAATGATAAAAATAGAGACACAAATGCGCCAAATAAACATGTGCTTAAGTGTCGAAACTTGTTGTGATGGAAACGGACAAAACTTTCCGGTAGACCTGATATATATATCACTAGTAGGTGTTAGCGGTGTTTGGAAGATATGATAAAAGACAGGTTTACCTACAGCAACATTTGATGCACAATCATCCAACCAACTACCGACCTGAATCAGAGTGGTATTTCACCAACTCAACCCAACATCAACCAAACCAATTGAGTTGAGGTTAACCGGAGTTTACGAAAGCGATTTCGTAAGGCAGAGTCGAAGTATCTATCCTCACTGGAAAGCTTTGAAATCAATGCACAGCTATTTCACACAGTTGAATGAAAAGCACCCGCAAAAGCCTACCAACTGATTTCACTGAGATTCGAATCGGAGCTTGTCGGATTGTTAATCAGACACGCTGAGCACATGAACTATCCGGGCAGGCAATTAGCAACTCATCCGTTAAAACCTCCTGCATAAACACTTGAAACTTCCGGAAAGCAGCGCGCAATCAGACAATGGGAAAGCTCCAGGGAGAGTTCATCGAGCCAGTTCGATGAGCATTTGTAGTGAGTTTGGATGCTCTCTGATGTAGCGTGTCCCCCCGTCGTTACACGCAGTATTATATCATAATATTTTACACGCGTTTGAGCCCATACTGGGCGGTAGTGGCCCGGTGGTAACGTCACCAATCATTACCTCGGAGAACGTGTGTTCGAATCCCACCACCACCGTCTGTCTATCCCCATGTGTGTTGTATAGCAGCCCTTTGATTGGCCGCTTCCCCCTTCCTAAAAATTGTATCCTTGTATGCTCAATAAAAGGAAGTAAAAGAAAAAATGAAAACAAATCACAGTATGGTAATCCGCACAGCAAAATAGGAGCGTGATTTGCTCGTGGGCGGAATACCGCCAAACTGCGCAGATACAACAGGCGGATTTTCTTAAGAGTACTTGATTAGCCAAAACCCGACCCGCAAGGCAAAGGGGCGATGAAGACCGCAATCGTTTGACCGGTGTCCAGTTCAGACACTCACTTCGGATGGGGTGAAACGTCCAAGGTGGCCAATAGATCAATAACCAACGTCAAAGCCGGGAACGCGTGAGTGGTTCTTGATAAGTTTTCAGTTACGGTTTTTGGCCAACTACCATAGGTGAAATGATAGTGGCTAACCGACCGCGAGGTTGGCTTTACATCCTTTCATTGTGGTGGGAAAACATCCACACCACACGAAGGTAGCGAGCAGGGCTTCCTCAGCAGAGGCTACTTGAGATACTCTGTCGTATAGGAGCTTTTCGAGAGGTTTCAACCCAAGACACCCATTCCCAACAACAGTGATGCACACGAGAACTATCAAGTGGACAGTAAAAGTCAGTGGTGAGTTAAAAACAGGCTTTCACCCTATACTCCTTATTTATACATTCGTAATCATTTCGTACACATTATGAACAGTGATTAGTCTACGTATCTGTGCGATGATCGTGACGACTTATATTTAAGTATGTAATCCCTATTCGAGACGCACTGTGATCAATCAATACAACACCTGCGGTACGCGATATTCTTTCTATGAGACATCTGGATAGCACGCGTATAGTGCTCATCTTGTCTTTTTCCGGTGGTACCTGCTATAAAACAGTGCATGAACACACGATTCGCGTGAGGAGTCAAACTAAAGCTGATTGCAAATATGAGAAACAGAATGATGGAGGGTATTTTCCAGTAAAACACGATGGAGCAGAGGGGTATGGCGATGAAGCAAGGGAAGGGACAGGAAACAGTTTTCTCTGTATTTCGCATGAGCTTCGTGAGAGATAGTAATCTGAAACAAAATGACACGACTGAAATCACGTTTTATGACAAGAGGAAAATGGTATGTAAGTGTGTGTGTGTGTGTAGCGTAGTGTTTCAAGGTGCGTGTAAGAGCGCGTACTCGATCGTTGATTGCCAAGGGCCGTGTGAGTGTATACGAACGAGGAGTGATTGGAATAGAATAGGCAGCTGTAGCTCCATTTTATGCATGTTACCACTACCGTCAAATCAGCCCCAGTCTCAGTTAGATGAGGTTTAGCTACGCTTGCTGTGCTGCATGATGAATGAGACGAGAGAAGAATAGCGAACAGGAAAAAACGGGTCAGAAAAGAAAACAACAGAAATAGGACAACAATAGAACAAAATGGGTGATAACTGAATGGTCACATGTGCGAGATGTTTGTAACACGACAGGAATAGGCAACTGATCGACGAGCCAACGCGTTCTTTTGTTGCAGTCGGATGCATGAGAGAGCATACAGGCGCCCGGGTGAATAAACTTGAAGACGCTCCAGACTGAAATATCCTCAAATGGACCATTGGTGGCTGATACGTATGATGTGGGTAGGGAAACGGGAGTGTTATCATGGCGCAGGTGGATTATTGTCTGCGTTTGGGGGACGATTGGTGTTCTCGACATTCTGCTTATTAGAGTCCGACGGACAGAAATATGGAGGTGGTGCGTAAGCATTGGCCGGAATTTTTAAAGCGTCCTGTAAAAGGAAGATAAGCACATACATTGATTTTATGAAAATGAAATCTTCCGATTGTCAAGATAATCCGTAATGGATTAAAGTGAACTAAACTGAACCCGTAATGCCGATCATTAGAGGCACCCGAGGCAAACTAAATTCGATAGATAGTATTTAGTTTGGATGGCGACTTTTCTGTTTAATTCATACGACTTCTAACATGACATTTATAGACCGTTCTTTGGCTTGTGACCTTGCAGTAGAATTATCCGAAAACAGATATAAAAGGTCATCACATTATCATACAATATTGTGTGATGGACAGTAAAACCGATATACCCCATGGTCACGAGGACTTATGATAACCGGCAAACTAAACATGCTGGGAATTGGAATTGTGAAACCCACAAAACCCCGGTGGAACAGGCACAGTGTGGAGCCGAACAACGGAGAGGCTGTCCGCCACTAATGATGGACACTAATGGAAGGACTGAAGTTTCACAATTGTAGGCCTAAACCACGAAAGTAAGCTTCAAGGTGTTCTCTTATCACCATTTCACAACTTACATGAATGAGTCGCCTGTTACACACACTCTCTATCAACCGGTCACTTCAATTACACTGATGACATTGACATTTCCATACCTATTACCTGAATAGTAACTGGACGCCAGTACTCGTCCATAAAGCTCTCATGAATAAACAAACAAAAAATAATTCCATACTGCATCGGTCGTCGCGCAGGACCGCACTGCCCATTGCATCGAAAGGAGTGGTGATGAGTAGGCTACTGCTCCAACATTACAACGTTTGTTTACCTTTTTGTCTTCGATACCCAACCCTCATCTTTTGCCCCTTCTTCTAACCCATAACAACCCATCAGGCAACTTGTTTACCACTGGCCAAAGGGCCTCCGAAAGCTTCAGTATGGTCGGGGGTGGGTGCACCTCACGAAATGCTCCCATACAACCAAGCGTCTCAAACAGCCTCTGCTGAGGAAGCCCTACACACTGCCATCTCGCGGCGGTGTTTTTCCACCAGAGTGAGAGGACGAAAAGCCGATACCCGGGGCTATAACCGGGTTGGTGGACCACTGGTAGTTCACCTAGGGGAGTTGGTCAAAAACCCTGATTCCAAACCAACCAAAATGAGGCGTACGAACCACATCCACACCTTTTCGGTTGTGGCAGTGATCACTGGATCGATTGGGCATTGAGGTGTATTGGGCACCTTGGACGTCTAACTCCGTCCGAAAGGCGAATGATCCAATGAACTGGACACCGGCTCCCAATGAACTGCGGTTTTCACACACCGCCCCGTTACCTTGCGGGTCAGGCTTTGGTTAGCCAACGGCTCCGGTCGTGGATTCCTCAAGAAAATTCACCTACCTTGACCTGGGCAACCTGGCAGTATTCAGCCCACAAGCCAATCATGGAACATTTTCTTTTTCGTAAAGATTATTGTACCATGATTTACCTGGCACATTGTCTGCCCTCAGACAAGTGTGAAATATAATATTGTAATAATACTCGCCAAAGGTCATTGCCAAATAACACTGTAGGTAGTTTACCACTAAACCATCTGCATATTCTGAAGCCTCGTCAATCTCTCAATCCGGGGACCTTTAAAGTGAGGATTCTGATGCACGTAGGTCAACAAGCGGGTCCCGCGCGTACAATGAACTCTTTAGAAATCGGTATCGGTTGGGTGTCGAAGACACCAATTCAGAATCCTAGTAGTGTAAGCAGTCTGAGTGCCCCGGATTTATCCTCGAGGANATGATCAAACCCGATCACTGGATCAGCGAAGTGTAAGAATAGTGCTAAGTGGTAAAGCATGAGGCTATACTGACAGAGTGGATACCCGTCAGCAGTCGTTTGTGCATAATGAGACTCCGTAACTCTGATGTTACAGTGCTGGCAGGTGATTTTAACGTGCAAGTTGGAAAACTGGGCGCATCCGAAGCCTGACTAGGGGAGGGNGGAGGGGGGCACTTCGCCCTCCCCGCCCAGCGAACAGACAACGGTGATCAACTACTTCAGTTTTGTGCAGATCACCGGTTGTTCTTATCTAGCACCAACTTTCAACACAGCTCTCGTTAAACGACTACATGGTGTTCTAGTTCAACCGGCAAGCTGACCCAAATTGACCATATAGCTGTAAGCTACCGTTGGCGCGGCTCAGTACCAAATTGCAGATCCTACCTGTGTTAAGTCTGATTATTTTTATTAAACATTTGTGTGGTGAACAGCAAACGGGGCGAACTCCATAGTTACGAAGACCTGCCGCTCCGCCATGGAAACCGGTGACCTAAGCCCCGGGACTTAAAGTAGAGAACCACACTAGTACTGATGCGCTTCACGCTTCGACTCATCGATCATCGGCAGAAATCGCCTCCTCAGTTAGCTCATCATGTTCCGTGCGATTCATCTGTTTGCGCACGTTATGAGGAAAAACTGGAACAGAAGCCAGGGGTAATGCGAGGTGGAGTAGATTAACAGTGGGACCAAATCAGATATGCAATAAATCTGGCAACAACAAATTACTGACTGAACAAAACCGTAACCCACAGACTTGGGGCAACGACTTGACTGACCACTAGGATATTATTTGATATGATTGTTAGTCATCCGCATGGACACCAGCGTACAACAGTTTAAGTAGTCCCATGCAATGCTATTTTGTGAATACATGCTAGAATGAAATAAAGTGCAGAGTACTTCGCCGAGTACCTCAAAGCTAAAGACATGAACACGAATATAAATGGTGTATAAGGTTCGTTCAACTTCACTGTCAAACTGTTATATGACCTTTTCGAGAGTTCACAATCAACTGATAGCCCAATGTCATGTGTACGCCACTGAAAGTATGACTGAGCCAATAGCAAGTTTACAACAAGCTCCCCAGATGAAAGAGGATCAATCAACATGGATGATAAATGTATGGCACAATAGTATTGCTAACAACAGTCAAAAAAAGATTGGGTAACTGTAAGAATGCCTCATTATAACTCACCTCATAGTTCGGGAGATCGTTCGTCTGGTCATAGGAGACAGGCGGTCGCACCACACCAGCACGGTCTGAATCTGCTCCGAACGCTCGCTGATCTGCGGAGCTTAGGTTGTTGCGGAGCAAAGTTGAGCGACGACCAGCTCCCAAAAAGCCCCAGATTGTGGGCAGGAAACCAATTCGATTGCCGGTCCAGTCATCAGCATGACCATGATGATTGGTTAGCATTAAGTATTTGTAGCAATCCCAAACCATACCCAAGCAGTAGGCCTTGAATGCTAACACCATGCACGAGATCGACAACAGCAGAAAAGTCAGACTGGTGGAGTTGATGTACATAGGACCACTCTGAAAACAAATATGAAAAACATTCTGGTGTAACCGAGAACTATTTGAATCAAGAAAGATGCTAGTTCTTTTTTACAATGCTAAATTAAACATGAATGGTTAAAAATGAACACTATTTTGTTACTCGCAACTATGTGAAGGAAACTATGAAAAATTAACCCCATGGGCAAATGACCGATCTGTGTATGTACGCAACTTAGAGTAGCAAACCGGATAACAGACTATTGGAATGGACATAGTACTGAGCCGGAAGACAGCGAAGCTACCTCCTTCCCAAAGTGGGTAGTGTCGGCAGTGTGAGCACTATACACCCTGGGGCTTGAGCCACGACAGTGACATAGCAGAAAGCCACTCGACTATTCTCGACAGTATCATTAGAAAATCAAAGTGCAAATTAAGGAGTATGGTCCATGTAGATAAATTTTCTATTTTCACATACTGCTGAGTTCAGACTGTGTCAAACAAATTACGGTATAATAATCGACAAAGAAAAAATGCCATGATTTGCTTGAGGGTGCGATACTGCTAAGTTGATCAAGCAACAGTAGGTGAATTTTCGTAGGCAACTTACAACCGGAACCTTCGGCTAATCAAAGCCTGACCCACAAGGCAGCGAAGCGGTGTGAAAACCGCGATTCATTGAGGGTCGATGTCATTGGATCATACGCCCTTCTGACGGGGTTGGACGTCCAAGGTGTCCAATACACCTCGATACCTTATCCAGCCGGCTACTATACAGGGACTCAATACGATTGAGCTGTTGCTCTTTAGGGTGGGAGGTGCGATCACTGCGCTCGTTAAGCAAGCAACTGCGTATGCAGTTCATATGTCACTTTTTAGGGTCGACAAGGAGGCATCATAAGCAGAGAGGAGCAGAGTTGCGATGACAAGAAGTATGAGAATTTAAAGCGATTAACTTAGTTCGTGTGGTGGATGCGGCCATGGTTGTATACTGTTCGTTGTGCGAAAAATGTGAAACGAACCCAAGTACAAGAGAGATGAATTCTTTTGATGTATCAATGAGTCCGATGACAATAATATCTATGGGAACCAGCTTGGGATTTGTCCC